CGACTTGAATACTTATCCCTAAAATCACAGTTAAGCCTGTTTGACTTTAGCCAACGAGCAGATTCCGGCCTATATGATGGTACCACGCAAATAACAAATAGGCTCTTTTCATGTTGAGGCCTGTTAGCTTTTGAAATCTCCGGTGATGGGTCTTTGGCAGGACGTGAATTGGTCTCGGGCCAAGGTTTCGAATAGTTTGGTGAAAATCTCTTTCATTCTCATCGAACTTGGTCCGCTTAATCCTTCAGAAAAGTGAAGCAAAGTGGTCTCAAAGTGGAATTATCACGGTTCCTTGGGCAGCAAGCAACATCAACCTCGTCCCAGTGATCATTCCTCATCTCATGCATGTGCCTAACAAGTGAATTTCAGCCGCTCACTCTACCGTGAAGGGGACTCACTGCTCGGCCTGTTCCTGTCCTCCACCCGTACCCACACCCTCACCGATTACCATAGAGATTGAGAAAAACAGGGAGGGAGAAATCAGCAAGCCAAATTACACGTAAACTCCAATTTCGTCTGCTTGCATCACCGCGCTAAAGGTTTTACCGTTCAAAAACAGAGGTAGGAAAAGCTGAAACAAGGTCAGGTTGAATCTCCAAACAACAGGTGTCTCTTTCTTACATTACATCAAACTCCCTTCACACAGCAATTACTCTGCTGCTAGTTGGAATTTGCCAACTTGACCGACGCTGCATAATTACTACACTGCTGCACTAAGCAGAATGTCGCTAAGCAGAGTGCATGTGCTTTGCGGAACATAGGTGATGGCACTGGTAACCTGTTGATCCAAACAGCCATTTTCTTCCATGGATCTTTTATAACGGTCTGATTCTACGGACCGAAAAAACACCAGGTCATAACCAGGGTCACCATATACTCCCATCAGTGCGGCAATCACACATTTACATTTCGCCCACAAAAGGCACACTCAATTCACTTTACAGTATAATAAAAAACAATAATAATAAACTTTGCATTTGATATAGCATCTTATCACGTCTTCCGGGCCTTTCAAAGCACTTCACAGCAAAAACTGTAAAGTGAATTAACTATATTTTGTGGGCAAAGTGTATTCTGTGAAAAGCTTTGAGAGGTGATAAGATGATATATCAAATGCAAGGAGTATTATTATTATTTACCCTAAAACCTATTAACACTTGTTAATAAACAATGCAGTTATGGATTTCAACAGTTCTGGTGTTTTTTCGGTCCATAGAATTAGACCGTTACAAAACAAACAGCAGCAAAGTAACACAATCACAAGTAGAGAACTAATTATCCATACTGTTTAGAAGCAGCCACTTTGTGGATCAGTAAATATTGTAGACAATTAGTCATCACACATAATAAAAATTGCCTACTCCACTACCTAAACAAATCCTCCTTCAAGAATTCCCCTATAGCAGAAAGCAATAGCCGCACATTGTTCCAGATCGTTTCTCTTTCTCTGCTAATCAATCTCTTTCTAACTCATTCTTTTTCTCTCACTTTCTCTATGTCTCACTCTCTCTCACTCTTGGGTCTCAAGGTAAATTGTGGTTCTAGTAACCTCACACGCATAAGCACAACTGGATTGTATTGCTGGCCATTGGAGCCTGAATGTGATAAGTGGAGATTCAGATATCTGAAATGCAAATACTACACTGTTGATTAAATAATATTTCCGCTTACTTTATTGCCACTACTAAACTCCGCACCTCATCACCCCAGTCCTTGCGAGGCTGCACTGGCTCCCTATTGCAGAATGGATCGATTTCAAGGTCCGCACACTGACTTACAAATCACTTCATGCCCTAGCACCTATCTACCTCTCCAACCTGCTTATACCCCATCCCTCTACCTGCCCTCTTCGCTTTGCGGGATCCAGCCTTCTGCATGAAGCGCTTTGAGACGTCTCGAAGACGTGACAAGGCACTGTATCAAATACAAAGATTATTATTATTATTCATTCCTTCTCTATCCTCCTCCCAGCTCCACCTTCACGGTTCTGTCCTTTCCAGATTTCATTCTTACCTCCTACATCAACATCTTCACTTCATATCTGACAACATTAGGACATCCTCCCAATGTGAAAGGCGCTATATCAATGTAATTTGTTGTTATCGTTGCCTCACACTGTTTGGACGTGCTGAACAATAACTCAACTAACATCCCGAGATCTTTCAACATCCTGCTTGTTAAATCTATCCCACTCAGACAGTGCAGTTTCATCATATTTTTGCTTCCTTTATGCAGTATCTTGAATTTATCTGTATTAAATTTCATGCACATGTAAATAGCCCAGGTGCACTCTAGTTGCCTGATTTCTCAATTCTTTTTAGCTTCGTGTCATCTGCAAACTTAACTAGGTTTTGACTTGCGGAAAAGGGGAATAGGAGGGTACAGTAAGGAATGGGTGAAGACTTGTGTCAAGTATAAGCACTGGTTGAGCTGAGTGACCTGTTTCTGTGTTGTACATTCTTTTAAGTCTTTGTAACTACCTATAAGTATCAGAAGAAGTTGGAAATAATATTGAGGTATTGTGGTAGGGCGGTCCTGTATTTGTGTTCAAGGGTGGGGGCCAATTTCTTTTACCGATTTCCTGTTACAAAAACAAACAAGGGCAAAGTGTTTCATGTCAGTGACCTGACTTCTGACCTCCATCCCATGCCCAGGAAAGATGTTAATTAAGTAAATTAGGTCATCACGAAGCCTTAACTTTGGCAAAGTATTCGGGATCCAGTGACTTCTGCTTCTTCAAAATAAATCACGTCGATGGCTCGGGCGTGTGCGTCTCTTGCATGATGCTCTGAAACATTTTGGCCACAAGCAAAAACCGTTCAAGAGCAGGCTTGGAGTGGGACAGTCAGGAGCAAGCTGGAAGCACACTGCGAGTAACAAGCTGTGAGTACAACGGGTAGATGTGAGACTAGCTGGGAATGACAGGCATGTCATTTTGCTTTGTCCAAATCTCTTTTAAGATTATAGTTCGATTGATTTCCTTGGGAGTACATCCTGCAGATATCTTGAATGAATGAATGAATGAATGAATGATGGATCAATCGATCTATCAATCAATCAAACAATCAACCAATCAATCAATGCGACTCCAATAAGATAAACAATAAATAATCCTTGCATTTGATTCAGCGCCTTTCACCTCTCACAGTGATTCAAAAGATTTGTTGTAAAGTGTCATTTTATAATAATAATAATAATAATTGTATTTGAGGTGAATATGGCAGAGCAATATCATACAAACAGCTACAAAGTTTTAACTGGGGATTGTTGGCCAGAGAAAGTCCTTATCTACAGCCACTCAAATTACCTAAATCTTCCAAGTGAAACAGAAAGCATTAACAGGTGGCATTCCCCCACTACCAGTGCCAGGATTCCAAGACTAAGAGCTCACATTTCAGATGCTCGCGTCCATGTTTCAAAAGTCTCCAGTGTTAAATTTAGTGAATCAAAATGGAAAAGATGAGAATAATAATAATCCTTGCATTTGATATAGCGCATTATCATGCCTTCTAGATGTCACAAAGCGCTTCACAGAATATACCGTAATGTGACTTGACTGTATATTTTGTGGGTGAAACCCAGCAGCCAATATGTCGATGAAGTTTTGTTGCTCAGCCCTGGGTATCACTAGCAATACCCAATTCCGGAGTCCTGTAGCTCAGTGGTTAGAGCACTCGCTTTGCAAGTGAGAGACCTGAGTTCAATTCCAGGCAGAGGGCGAAACCTTGGGCAAGTTTCCTTACTCCACACAGAGCCTAATAATAATCCCTCCAAAAAAAAACAATAATAAATTGGTCATTTTCAATCTACGACTGTTTGTGGGACATTGCTGTGCGCAATTGGCTGCCGCGTTCGCCCACAAATATACAGTCAATTCACTTTACAGTGTGTTCTGTGAAGCGCTTTGGGACGTCCTCCCGACGTGAAAAGCGCTATATCAAATGCAAGGATTATTATTATTATTATTCCATGTAGACCATCAACAAAGAGCATTACCAGGGCAGAGTATGAGCAGTGTTTACCATGCTGCACAAACTCTTAAACCCAATGTTTTGACGGGCTGTCCAATTTAGACACCTTGTATAATTTTCTGTAGCGTCTGATTAGAACATTAGATAGACACTTAGTGTTTAAAACTCTACAAGCCATGGGTGTGTGCTGATTTAGGCTGGTGTGAAAAAAATCAAGCAACTGTTGAACCTAGCCACGAAAGCTTTCTGACTTCAGAGCACGTTAAACCGTATCAGCGATCTTTTTGGACTTAGTCTAAAACAATTTTTTTTGCCGATTGGACGAGAAGCGGTGAAAGTGGCCAAAATGTCCCGAGGGTCAAATGACCAACTAACGACACTTGCTCCTGGGTGCTGGGAGGAGGGGGAGAGAGGAATGCGGGGAGGGGAGTGAGGGGAGGGGGCAAATGTAAGCAGGGTGTCATTGGAGTCGAGCTGGTTCCAAGGTAGAATGAATGGAACATAATATTAGAGTCAATCCCCTGTGGTGGTTTCGGTGTCTGGTTCCTGAGCTAGGTGGTTCCACAGTACTGGTCAATGGTGACAGGGATTTTTCTTGCTTGACTTCTATTAACCTTCAAGCCAAAGTGCTGAAGGGAAGATCAGTCCATGCTCCGACAGTGAGAAGCTTGCCAAAGTGCCCTCAAAGGCGAGCTCCCTTGCTTTAGCTGACGACACTCCAGCAGTATCCTCAAAAGAACGCACTGGGGTGCCAATTCCTTGGCTCTTGCCAACCTGCACATAATATGCTCCAGAATTATAAAAGGAGGGTGCGTCCCTCCAGGAAGAGTACGTGCATTCCATCCCAGACAAAAGAAACATTTCCATGTGTAGGTGGCAGGCAGATGTGAGACTCTCAAGTCTAGTTTGGAAACTCTTAAGCCCGGCGGTGCGTCACACCGAAAAACACGTCTTTGGAGATACGCGCACGTGATGAAGAAAAGCAGGCCAATCGAGAAAAAAACATCGAAGAAAATATGATTCACAAACCTCTGAAGGTTTCTTCTCCTCCTGTCTTATCCAGGGATTTTTTGTGGTTTTGGAGCATCTGGACCATGATGTTTTGTGACCTGGTGGTGACATCGTTAAGAAAGAAAAAAGTTAAGACTCTGCCAGAGACAGTGAGACAAAATAGCTTTGGCCTTTCACCCACAAAATATACAGTCAATTCACTTTACAGTGTATTCTGTGAAGCACTTTGAGACGTCTCGAAGGCATGATGAGGTCTGTATCAAATGCATGGATTGTTAATTTAAGCCAGAAGCCACAAGATTTCAAAATACTTACTGTCAGTGGTATCTGAGTCCTCGCTGCTGGTGGAATACTTCCTCCGTTTCAACATTTCATTATCCATCCAGAGATCTGCAATAATCACAGGCCGTGTCACTGTGCAATAAAGTTTACAAGGAGGTACAAACGCAACTCAACCTGAATCATCAGTGTCCAGTTTAGGGAGGAGATTGAGATGAGTGTGTTCCAGAGTCGGTTCAAAAATGATTGCAGAATTCAGTCACTTTGCCGAAAGTGATTGTAAGGGGAAATCAGTGTCACACTGATGCTGTGCACCAAGTGGAGGGAGTTTCACCCTCAACGGGAAATGAATAAAGCAAATGAACATTGTACTATCTACCTGTTTTTAATGCAGAGTATTAAAACTAATACCTTGACCCTGCAAAAAAAATATGTCTGTTGTGATTTCTAACAGGAAGAAGATACAATAATTGCTTTAAGGTGCTGTCTTCTGAAGGTAAACCTTTTTTGGGTTCAATGCAACTTTCAAAGCATATAATGTACCAAACTCAATGATAAGTGAGCGTAAAATAAACTTTATCGACCCACCAAGACGAGGATGATTAGTGGACCATCGACACACATTTACATTGGAGCTCATTTCTTTTCAGGGCGCTGCAGTCCTGCAGATGTGCCCTAATTCAGGGTCAGCGATTGGGGGAATTACTTCGTTCAAAGGGTTAATTTAGAGAAGCAACCTCCCAAACAGAAGAGGGAGAAATCGTCAGCCCTTGTCGAGCTCCTTGGGCTCTATTGGCTGGTCCAGAGGCAGCCCCCAGCCTCAGGTAACAGGGGGGCAAACTATAATTATGGAGACCATAACAAATGTAATGTAAAAGCGAAATTCAGCAACTCCATCCTCTTGAAGTATTGTTCCAAACAGAAAAGATTCCGACTGAATAAAAAGCATGTCCTGAAACTGCAGGAGAATGACACTTCATAACCGAATATAGCAAAGAGAGAATTGGGGTTACTTGCCTTTGTAATACAATCTTCTGGTCTTTTCAACGAATATGTCTACTTTTCCACATTATTTGGCCAGCAGCTACATCTTGTATTGCAAATCGTAATGGCATTTCCCACCGATCAGATGCCTCTGTAGGTGGCAAAAGGAGACATCCAAACGTGAACCCAAATGTTATGGCGCGGCCCTCATTCAAACCAAGTTACCCTTCTTCCACAATTGCACCGGGAAAGAGCAGGGGAGTGGGACTGATTGGGCGGCTCTTCCAATGTGCTGGCACAGGCACGATGGGCTAATTGGCCTCCTTTTGTGCTGTAATATTCTATGATTCTATGATTCTCTCTGTCATCTGTAATAGGGCAAGAGACAACCTGCTGTCAGGCTTTCCCCCAACACCATTCTGAACCCAAAAGAGTGGCTCAGTAACAACATTTCCACTGAAGTGTTCAAAAGAGGTATACGTACACAGGTAACACACTAGTCTCCCACTGAAACCTGATGCCATCAAGTGTATGAGAGCCTCAAAGAATGACATATTTTCCCTCGCTCTTTCAGGTGCCTGGCCTTTGCCTAGCACCTTGCATGATGGTGCAGCTCAGAAAAACGTAGGGAATCAGTAAGTAGTTTGGGACACGACATGTCAAGCGAATGCCAGGATGGTAGAAGCCGAACTAGATGGACCTTGGTCTTCTTTCGCCTGGGAATTCTTATGTTAGTCAAAGTTCTGGTAACACTGCACCTCTGCTTCTTCTCTATGGTAGAAACTCCATTACAAGGCACCACCTTACAACACCAGTTCACTCGTAACGCAGATGCCCTAGGGACCAGTAGTGGGTTTGACTGGGGCTTCAGCGCTCGTAAGGTCATCGCCAATGTCACTTCCTGAGCACTGCCCTTGCACGCTTGGCGCAACTTCCTTCACGTAGCACATGTCCAGGAAGTGATGTTGTCAGCCACCTGAAAACCCACAAGTCAGCTTTTTCTTAACGTGGGACTTCTGCGCAATGCGTGAAAGCCCAGTGAGTGAGACCCAGTCTGAGGCCACCTGATCACCAGAAATCGGCCATATTTTAAGGCAGGAAGCCAGCCAAGCAGGTTCCTGTGCACCTGTGCAGTCCACTGGTTGCTCTTGACTGCATCCGATTATAAGGTGGTCCGTAATTTTATGGCCCCAAACTACCGCCTTGAAACAGGGNCCCCCCCCGCAGTTATTTAAAATCTCCCCCACCCTCACCCCACCACCACCCCCACCCAAAAAAAAACTGAGCGTAAGAGAGTAAGAGAACAAATGATACAGTATAAGAATGGTTTCGAAAAAAAGATGCGATGGGTTTTGCAGGAACCACATGCACTCCAGAGATCTCTTTGCTTTGACTCACGTTAACCCCAGGGCAGCAAGTTCACCGCTAATTGATGAATGCAAAGAGAACTGTAACTGGAATTATTGGCAATTAATCGTTAACCCAACTGACTTGCAGCATATGTTGGGGGTGAAATTCAGTCACGGCACTGACCCCGAGAGTCGCTTCCAACTCCTTTTCAAATCAAACATGTTGTCACAGTTTGTGCAGAGAGAGAGAGAGAGAGAGAGAGAAAAAGCCCAACATCTTTGCTGTGCGAGAAAGCAATGAAGTGAGGAAGCACAAGGTGGAAACCATACAAAAAGTGGTGTTGAAAAACAAGGCAAAAGCCAAGTGTGTGCTCGAAACCAAAAGAGGTGGAGGAGTGGGGAGGGGAGGGGAGGGGAGAGAGAACCACAATACAACTGCAAAATTCCCTCCCCATTACAATTGACCCTTTGCAACAACTAATAATTTCACCCCCCACCCACCCTCTAACGTTTAGACACTGAAACAAACACACGTACAAAAAAAAACCCACAGGCAACAACCAAAAAAAAAGAAAGAGTCCAATATCCATCTATTTGCACTTTCAAGAAATATCTGCACATCGATCAAAAGTTTGAATGCACTTTTTTCCCCCTCCCTCCCCCCCCAAAGCAAAGTGCTCAGTTACATTTTACACGAGCAATTGATTGATGGATTGATTGATTGATTGATTGATTGATTGCTTCTGTGTTATAAATAATGCAAAATATACAATACCAAAGCGAGAAATAATACATAATTATTATTATTATAATATTATTATTATAAAAAACGATGCATTATTCTAACCATAACCTAGAACGTGGATTTGATGCAATTTGGGACAAAACAGGGGGGGGGGGGGGGTGGGACACACACACACACACACAACTTTTGCTTCTGTTCATTGCCTTGCAATTGTGGGACAGGATGAAAATAAAAGTGTGGTGTTGGGGGGGGGGGGGGGGGAGGGAGAGAGAGAGAAATCCTCTCTCCTTAACAATAAATTAAAGGCTCAAAAGAGTGGAGAAGTATTCAGCTCCAACTCCATTCGCTGCTGGAGCTTTTGCACACTTTACTGTTGGTGGGTGCAGGTCAAGGAGGGATTGCCACACGACAAATCGCAGCACAACACACCACCACCACCACACGTGTGGGTGGATCTGTCAACTGAACTGGGCTAATGGTCCAGGCAAGGAGTGGGGGGGGGGGGAGAGAGAGGGGGGGAGAAATAGTGTGGGGGGGGATTGGGAGTGTAGCAGATGGGATTCCCCATCCAACTGTGTCCAGAAACCCAAGGACTGAAGTTACCTGTGTTTGCAGATTGCAGTAACTCCCCCCCACCCCCCACCCCCTTTCTTGTTGTCACTGGAAAGGGAATGCAATTGAATTGACTTGACCAGTCACACCTCCCCTGTAAACCTGCACACACACACACACACAACACACACACACACATACAACACACAACACACAGCCAATTCAGGATAAACAACAGTCACGACCCCTACAGTCAGCCTCGCAGTTTGCACCCACAGACCTCACATCGCATGGGCACAGCATTGATCAAAACATTTGCTTTTTTTTATGTAATTAGGAATAATTAGGAATATTAAAAAAAAACAACCATTTAAGACTCCCCACACCCCACACCCCCCCCCCACACACACACACACAGACACAACAGTTCTCTGTATATTCTCAATACACTGACACCCCCCACATGTACACACACACACACACACACACACAAGATGCAAACTGCAGAGAGAAGATGCGATGTGTAACCAAACTGCAAAGAAAAAAGCCTTTAGAATATACCCACAATAATATGACATGTGCACACAACCATCTTTTTTAAAATATATATATATGCAATCAGACCCCCTCACTCCCCCCCCCCCCCCCCCCCCCCCCCCACACACACACACACACACACTCACCCCCACCTCCACCTCCTGCTCGGTTTACAGACTGGGTTGCAAAAAAAAATGTTGCTTCCCAAGTATGTTGTGTACTGCAGTAATGTGTAGCCACACAGAGCTCTCCCCCCAAACCCCCCCCCCCCACACCCCCCCCCCACACCCCCTCCCCATAATGTTATATCATTTTACAAAGTTGTGGGGTTGCACTTTTGATCACCCAAAGTAAGAAGAATGATATCTATGGGGTTGGGAAGGAGGGGGTGATGGGGGGGGGGGGGGGAAAGGTGCAGATCTAATTTACCCCCCACCCCAACACCCACACACACACCCCCACACACACCCCCCCAAAAAAAACCAGTTGCCCATCTTCTAGTACCATCAATAAAATAATTCGCCCTGCACATTATATACAGATATACATATACATTATATATATTATTATTTTTTTTTTTGGGGGGGGGGGTTTCTTGCTGCAAATGCATTTACCTTCGACTCTCGTGTGTGTGTGTGTGTGTTTTGTTGCGGTGAGAGTGTATCCTCGGGGCCACACGCTGGTGATGGTGGTGTTATCAAGAGTGGAGAGTCCTGAATTCGGTGCTGATTCGTTTTTTTTTCTCTCTCTCTCTCTCTCTCTCGAGTCCCTGAACACCCAAATAAAAAGCGGTTCGAGAGACGCGCACTTCGTTCGGGGGCAACGGCCCAATGCACATGAATGCATATAAATCTCTCTCTCTCTGTGTGTGTGTGTGTGTGTCTCTGTGTGTGTGTGTGTCTGTGCAAAAAAAAACATGCAGTTTCACAGCACTGAGATGGCTGCCAATGCAATGGTTGCTTTGCTTTGCTCTCTCTCTCTCTCTCTCTCACTCACACACACATACACACACACACACACAAACACTTTGCAGCTCCTTTCCTCCCCTCCACTCCCTCCCTCCCTCCCTCTCTCCCTCCTCTCTCACACTCCCTCGTTCTATCTCTCCATCTCCTCTCTCTCTCTCTCTCTCTCACACACACACACACACTTTGCAGCTCCTTTCCTCCACTCCACTCCCTCTCCCCCCTCTCTCCCCCTCTCTCTCTCACACACTCCCTCGTCCTATCTCTCCATCCCCTCTCCCCTTCTCTCTCTCTATTGCCATATTCCCACCTTCCAGTCTGCACTTGCACGCAGTCCCTGTTGCGTTGCTGTTATCCTGTGGCCCCCGATCCCCTGCAAAAAAAAAAGCAGCAAAAAAAAAAACTGCGTCTCGGCGTTGTTCAGTGTTGTAGTTCTTTTTTGTTGTTGTTGTTGTTGCTGTGTGGCTCTTTTTTTTTCGACCCCCCAAAAAAAAAACAACCCCCAAAAAACGCAGCGAGTAATCTTGTTCCTCCTCCTCCTCCTCCTCCTCTCCTGGTGGTGGTGGTGGTTGTTGTTGTCGTTGCAGTTACGTTTCCCCCTTTTTTTTCCCCCCCTTCTCTCTCTCTCTCTCTCTCTCTCTCCCCCCCCTCTTTGGATCAGGTTGTGGGGTGGGTGGGGGGTGGGGGGTGGGGGGGGGGTTGCAAACCCAGAGAGAGAGAGAGAGAGAGAGAGGTGGTGGTGATGGTGATGGGGAGGGGGGAGTGTGGAAGGGGGAGAGAGAGAGAGAGAGAGAGAAGAACAACTGTGCAAACAGAGCAGACTTTGCAAAGACACTTTGGGGGGGATTTACCTCCACGGGAGCAGGGGGTTTGACCCCCCTTTTTGGCACTGGTGTGCACCCCAGGACCTGGCACCCAAACAGCTCATACTTCAAAATCTTTTGGCGCCATATTAATGACGTACTTAAAATTGCCTTCTCTCGAAAAGACAAGATCTGTGTCTTTCCTGCGTCAAAAACAACGTCTTTCTCCCCCCCCCATCCCCCCCTCTCCCCCTCCCCCCTCTCCCCCTCCCCCTCCACCCCCTAAAAACCTTACACCACGCGTGCATTTGGTGGTGGATTTGCACACGTTTTGGTGTGTGTGTGTGTGTGTTGCTGTTGCTATTGCTATTATTATTATTATTATTATTATTATTATTATTATTATTATTATTATTATTATTATTATCATTGCAATCGTTTGCCACCCAGTGCTGATCTGTTTTTATTCTCCTAACGCCGGGCCAATTTTTATTTTATTTCAATGCCCCCCCCTCCCTCCACCCTCCCCCCCCCCCACCCTGAAAAAAAAATGGCATGAATTAAATAAACACATAAATACATTGCTTAAGAAATCCCCCCCTCCTCCCCCTCCCCTCCCCCCCCCCCACCCACACACACACACACCCCAAAAAAAGAGAATTGAATTGCCCAGAGCTGTGTTCGCGAGCAGACGCCTTACTTTTTGTTGTATGGTTAGAATCTGGCACCCCACCACCCACCCACCCCCCACCCATACCCCCCACCCACTTTTTTTTATTGCCCAACAAGGTGCTTTGCTTTGCTGTTTAACCCCCATCGCAACAGCGGAGTTTACCACATCTGAAACAGTTCTCTTCTTTTAAGTAGGTTTTAAATAAAATAACCTCCACCCCCCCCCCCCCCCCCCCCACCCCCAGGTTTATTTTAAAGACAATAAATTGTGGGGTCCTGTAGCTCAGTGGTTAGAGCACTCGCTTTGCGAGCGAGAGACCTGAGTTCAATTCCAGGCAGAGGGCGAAACCTTGGGCAAGTTTCCTTACTCCACACAGAGCCTAATAATAATCCCTCGAAAAAACCCCAAACAATAATAAATTGGTCATTTTCAATCTACGACTGTTTGTGGGACATCGCTGTGCGCAATTGGCTGCCGCGTTCGCCCACAAATATACAGTCAATTCACTTTACAGTGTGTTCTGCGAAGCGCTTTGGGACATCCTCCCGACGTGAGCAGCGCTATACCAAATGCAAGGATTATTATTAATAAGTTATCAGGCTTGTCTTACCCCAAGTTTTGGGTGTGAATCTGCTTTGATGGGGGGCGATGGAGAGAGAGGGGGAGAGAGATATTATTATTATTGGTATTATTATTAGTATTAATATCTTCAAACCCAGTTATCTTTTGCAAGTGTGGTACCACGGTATTGGGTACAACATGCAACTGAACAGTCCTGGTGTAAGGGATCACTATGGGAATCCCTGCACAACCCAGTGGGTGTGTGTGTGTGTGTGGGGGGGGGGGGGTCTGGTGGGGGGTAACACGACCCATCATCAAATCCCCTTTCATTACCCCAAAAAACTCAACAAGTCGGGCAAGTGCGACACTCAAACCCAACAACTCCCGACGTGTTGCAATCCCCCCCACTTCACACCAACCCCCCACCCAGGAGTCGTGTTTTATTCCTGTGCACCTTTTCTGAATTGCACCCTTTTTTTTTATTCGTACGTCTGTGTGTGTGTGTGTGTGTGTGTGTGTGTGAAAAAAAAACCCCACAAAAGGTTTCCCTTTTCCCAGCCCTTTTTTTTTTGTTTGATGCAGGTACCAGAGGGCCTAAGATTGTGTTCCCTCCTCAAAGAAACTGGGATTTAAGTCAGGATTTCATTTAATTTCATTTAATTTGAGTAAAAGGAAACCCCTGAATACTTCATTTCAAATTGCAATAGCAAATTCCGTTCTTTTTTTTTTGATTGCGTTCAGAAGCTGTCGAGGACTTTTATTTTTTTTTCTTGCAAAATTTTGTTTTGAATGCACTAACTCCAGAAATAAAAATAAATGAAAAAGAATAACAAAAAAAAAGAGACAATAATCACCATATCCTCTGCACTACACACTACACACTACACACACACACTGCAGCACCTGCACCGCACAGTGAACCCCGACACTCGAAATGTAAGTTAAATCACTCACCGGTTTCTTTTGTGTTTGGTTTCTGTATTGAAATAAATTGCAACACATACACACAACACACAACACACACACAGAGGACAGCACAGCACAAGGGATATCCATCTCAACAGGTACTGGCGATGGATGGGTTTGTTGCACAGGATCCTCCTGCATTATTATCGCTGCACTTTGCACTCAGGATATGTGTAAAAAAAGAGAGCAAAAAAGTACCATTATTTCCTAAATTTTGATTTAAATTCATTTTAATTTGCATTTGAAATTAGATGATTCGTGCTGTGATTGCGTGAGGTTTATTATTATTGATTAATGCTATCACTATTATTATTATTATTATTATTATTATTAGGATCATTATCTTACACTCAGTAATTTCTCCCAGAACAGTAACGGGGATAACTCTCAGAAATGCTGTAAGAGGAATTAAAGAGGCCCTGGGACGAGGGTGAGAGAGTGAACATATTCTTTGTACTGACTCTCCATCGTGATTCTCTCTCTTTTTTAAAATAAAAGGCTCCGAAGGAGAAATATGCACAGATCTTTATTTATAATAATACTACTACTACTCATAATAATCTTTGCTTTTGCTATAGCGCATTTCACGTCGGGAGGACGTCGCAAAGCGCTTCACAGAACACACTGTCAAGTGAATTGACTGTATATTTGTGGGCGAACGCGGGCGGCAGCCGATTGCGCACAGCAATGTCCCGCAAACAGCCGTGGACTGAAAATGACCAATTTATTATTGTTTTTGGTTTTGGAGGGATTATTATTAGGCTCTGTGTGGAGTAAGGAAACTTGCCCGAGGTTTCGCTCTCTGCCTGGAATTGAACTCAGGTCTCTCGCTTGCAAAGCGAGTGCTCTAACCACTGAGCTACAGGACTCCACAACTGAGCTACAGGACTCCACATTTAACGGTTCTTTCTCGTCTTCGTCCCCCCACATAAACGACACTGGCCAAAGGGAGGTGAGTAAGTGAGTGAGTAAAGTGAGCATCGTTCTCCTGGGACTGAACTGGCTCTGATGGGACAAGGTAAGGAAAGAGCCAAGCAAGTCCATAATATTCCCAAGATAACCTGGAGGGATTGGCATGTCTGCAACTATGATAAGGCAAAGGCTTAATAGCTACAAAGGTCCTGACTGGACAACTGCTCTGCCCCACCCTCACTCATTCTATTTTTATCAATTCTCGGGATTTGGCCCAAATCGCTAATTGTCCAGATCTTTTCACTGTGGTATCCACGTTCCTCTTGGTCTGGTTCCCTCCACCCCTTTCTCACTCCCGGTGATTCATTCTGTGGTAGGATTCTGTCTGTCAGCGCCCAGTCACCGCACCCAGGTCTTCAAATGTGGTGAAGGAAGGATATCACATCAAGCCCAATCCCGTTGTTCATCGAAACCCAAATGCACACACTTTCTAGCAGGATACAATGAATTCAATACAGCGCCTTTCACGTCAGGAGGACATCTCGAAGCGCTTGACAAAGCTGTACGGGCGCCCGAGCTGGAGGTGGGAAGGCGGGGGAAGGAAAAGATAACCGAAAGTGCAGTCAGCGAGCGAGGTATGTTTTGAGACATGCCTTGAAAGCGGGAAGTGAAAGAGAGAGAGCGTTGGAGGGGTTCCACGACGGAGTTCCAGAGAGTGAGGGCAGAGAGGCTGAAAGCCAGCCCGCCGTGGTAGAGAGGATGGGGGAACGTGAAGCAGGCCAGTGTTCACTGAGTGAAGGAACCAGTCTGTTCAGCGTAGCTGGAGGCCGCAGATGTAGCGTAGGGCAAGACCGTGGTGTGATCGAGGACCGAGGAATACAGAAGGAGAACTTAAGTTGATATTTTCTCCTTTCACAGCTCTTAAACAGGCATGGTCACCTTATATGATAATAATAATCCTTGCATTTGATAGAGTACCTTATCACGTCTTCGAATGCCTCAAAACACTTCATGGGATATACAGTAAAGTGAATTAACCGTATATTTTGTGGGCGAAACCCGGCAGCCAATTGCACACAGCAGCGTCCCACAAACAGACATGGATTGAGTGACCAATTTATTATTTTTTTTTTAAATTTGGGAAGGAATTATTACCCCCGGAAAAGCAATCTGCCATTCGACTAACAACCGGGTTCCTATTTACTGCTAGGTAAACAGAGGGGTGTGGAGTAAGGAAACTTGTCCAACATTTTGCCCTGCCCGGGAATCGAACCCAGGACTCTCGCTGGCGAGGCGAGTGCTCTAACCACTGAGCTACAGGACTCCACTTTTACCCTCGATTGCCCTATATGAGATAATTTTATGCTTCTTTTACCATTCAATGTCAACCAAAATGATGGGGGGAGTGTTGCAATCTATATTTATCATATGAAGGACAGCCAATTTGGTTTTTGTTTTACTGATGATATGTACGCGTATTGGGAGAATCCTTTCACGATCAAATGTTATATTTCAGTGCAAAACTGTGCAATACTGTCTGACAAGCAGATGAGCAAATGCTTGCCGGGCACTTTTTATGAAGATAGTGCTCAATCATCTCAGCTTCAATTTTGTGTCCTAACTGCTGCTGGGAAAAATATAAAAGAAGCGCATGATCCAGTTGACCTAACGTAATTAAAGTTAAAAAAAAAGTACATTCAGGTATCAAAGGAATAAAATGCATTCTCAATCTTTCAATATCTATTATTTAAATTTAAAAAAAAACAATCTGAAAGGAATATTGCATGTGATAAATCAATATTTAAACTCTTAATCATGTTTTCTTTTTGAAAAGATTAAATTGTAGAGTATTTTTGAGCAAGTTGTTATATATCTAATCCCAGGCGGCCCAGCGAAGAGGAATTATTACCCAGTCGTTGGGAGTAGTGCTGAGTGTTTTGCCCAACATTCACTCAGTTACTTTATATGAACACCTAACAGTAAAGGTCACTGAATAGTCATCAGAACGAGGAACCTTCTCCTCCCTGGACAAGGATAGGGAAATATCAGTTCCTATTCCATATTGCTAGTATGATACTGTGCGTGTTTTATTAATATCAATGTCATTATTTGTTCTCACAGTGAA